GCGAGCGGAGCATTGGTTTGTGGCATTCGATGATCACTGGGTATGCAGTGAATGGGCAGGGTGACGAGGGGATGCTGTTGTTTGAACAAATGAGGAATTCGGGGTTGGAGCCCGATAAGGAGACTTTTTTAGTGGCGTTGGGGGCGTGTGCTAGTGCGGAAGCTGTAGAAGAAGGGTTTGCGCTCTTCGAATCAATGAAGAATGAGTATGAGATTGTACCGGAGATTGAGCATTATTTAGGACTTATTGATGTTCTTGGAAGTCTGGTCATTTGAATGAAGTCGAGGAGTTCATTGAGAAAATGCCATTTGAGCCTACAGTTGAAGTTTGGGAGGCTCTTAGGAACTCTGCGCGAATTCATGGAGATATTGAACTTGAAGATCGTGCGGAGGAATTGTTGGTTAATATTGATCCTTCTAAGGCCAATGCTGACAAAATCCCATTGCCTCCGCGGAAGAAGCACTCGGAGCTTAACATGCTAGAGGAGAAGAATAAGGTGAGTGAGTATCGGAGTACAAACGAGGCGTATGAGAAATTGAAAGGTTTGAAAGGACAGATGAGGGAAGCAGGCTATGTGCCGGATACAAGATACGTTCTTCATGACATCGATCAGGAGGCAAAAGAGCAGGCATTGCAGTATCATAGCGAGCGTTTGGCAATTGCTTATGGTCTGATCAGTACTCCAGCAAGGCAAACTCTGAGGATAATTAAGAATCTTCGAATCTGCGGTGACTGCCATAATGCGATAAAAATCATGTCGAAGATTGTTGGGAGGGAGCTGATCGTTAGGGATAACAAGCGGTTCCATCATTTCAGGGATGGGAAGTGCTCCTGTGGGGATTACTGGTAAACTTATCCGCAGTTAGTTGATAAAGCTTTCAAGAGACAAGGCTGTGGTGCAAAGTTATGTAATGTTGAATGCTCTGCAGCAAGAAAATTCAGAGTAAGTTTTTTGGCTGGAAATTAACTTTGTCAAAATTTATGAGTGTCGTTCGTTGTAGATTATTCTAGTACTTAAATTCATTCACACTTAATGGAAAACAAATAAACAAGATGTTTTGTTTGCTCGATTAATTCTATGTTTTATTTCTGAAAGCATGTGTCTGGTGCTGTGTATGATTCCTTTCCTTTGTTTTATCCTGGAAAAGAAGAAAGAAAAAGTGGCAACTGCTAATGGGGACTGCAAATAGTGAAGAATCATGTATAGAATGAATTCCTTTTTCGCCGAAAAATGGGAAAAAATGGAATCTGGTTCTATGGCAGTGGTGAATAATTGTGAAACATTGATTCGGTGCAATTTGAGTTTCTAGAACCAGTATCTTCAAGCGAAAAGATAGTGAGATGAATCACGAAAGTAAGATCAGGATTTATCAGAAGTAAAATGAACGAAGAGATCTTAACCGCATAAGATAATGACAATCCGCCGAATGCTTAAACTCATCTCGAAGCTTATTATTCAATTGAATGAGAATCTTCTATCCTAAGTATACATTGCCCTGTTTGGATACCTCTTGTACAAAGTAGTCTAATCGACGATTTCTCCTACCTTAATCGGTGGAACTAGAGCTTCTACGATGTCTAAGGGAAGGGTTTAACCTACTGATGGACTATTATTCAGCTTCAAAGAATGAAATGTACAGCTGAAAATGGTATGGTTGGTACAACAAGTCAACCTAATTCACGATTTAGAAGGGAAGGAAAAGCTCCGAATCATTGTGTAGGACTTTTGTTTGAAGTTAAAATTCCGAAAGAAAATGTAACTAGGAGTCAAGGGAGGATGGATGGGTACTTCTTTTGTTGGTTACCACTTTTCTCACAGCTTCAGCTTCGTCCCTTGATGGAACTCGAAGGCAGGACTTCATTATATCGTAAACTGTGAACCCGATTGCCACAGATGGTACGACCTGAATTACACATACAAAAAACATGGTTAAACACGAAAGACAATGGGAAGTTTCTGTCAAAGAATGACTAGGTTCTTTACCACCTTCAAGTAATTGATGCTAAGTCCTGAAAACAATTGCTTCCATCCTTGCTTTTGAGCGATCATAACAAGGGTTTCGATTGTTCCTTTCATCTCTGGGCTGCTGGATACCATGATTCTTTGAACCTGTTTGCAGGATTTTCCCCCATTAATGTCACAAATTCTTATTATTCAAACATCATTTTGAGGACCATTGAAAAGCAAATTACCTGCATCTGCCTCCTCACCACATCAAGGGGATACGTAAAAGTCTGGCCTAATACACCAGCAACAGAACCACATACGAGTTTGAACACAATACTCTTCTTGTGCTCCGGAGGGACATGGCGCTTCATCTCCTCGTAGAAGTAAAACTTCAAACCGGCATATGGGAAGATCCCATAAAGCGACGGAGCTGATAATAATGTTAAACCATTAAATGCAGAATCCTTGCAAAGATCATAAAAGCTATAGATACTCACAAGGACAGCAGTGGATGAAACAAGCAGTTTTCAAATTCATACCAACGCCACGGTAGAGGCCTCTAAGTCCAGCCTCTCTGTAAGTCATTGAGAAACAATCGAGAATTCCTTTATATATTTGTTGAGAATTCAGTACCCCTTGAGCATTTAACTTCTGTGAACCAACAACCTGCAGAAGAGTAAAAAAGATGTGGCTGTACTCAAGAAACCTTTTTTGGGGTGTAACAACCAACTCCAACACTTGTGAGAGGTTTGTCAGGATTCAGTTAGTTACCTGATAGGCCAACTTTGTGCGAACCAAATCAAGAGGATAAGTAAAAAGCACAGCTGTTCCTCCAGCAAAAGATCCTGCCACAAGATCAAGACCAGGTCCCCGCCCAACGTCAGGATAGGCGAGAATAATCCATCTGCGGTACTGCTCATAGGTCATATAATGGAGGGCTGCATATGGAACAATTCTTGCAACACTAGCTCCATTTCCCCTGTACGAGAACTCATTAGTTGATCGAAAACTTGAAAACACCCTTCACATAAATGACTCATTACTCAAGACTCAAGTATCCACCTGTAGAAACCCATGGGCCCTTCTGTCCTTGCAATTTTCTTAACGGATCCAAAAAGCCCGATGCTGTGGTATTCTGCTCTTCTGGTCTGCAAAAGATAAATAAATAAGCTATCATATGTACTTATCGACAAAAACTTACTGGTAAATCCAGTTAGAGTTAGCAACTTGTTTCTGATTGACATGTGAAAGAAGAGGGCATATCTTAACTTCTATTGCCCACCTCGGGGAAGAACACAAAAATCCGACCCATAAAACTTGCAATCGAAATTAACACAGGTACTGAAAACAAATTCTCTCCTTTTGTTTTAGTTTTCGGATAGGGGAAGGAGAATTGAATGGCATGGTATCCAAAAGTTATCCATCTAATATCTATCCAGAAAGGCAAAAACCTTACGATGTGTACTGACCATGGAAAAAAACAAGTATCGGGAAACCGAACCGAATAAAACAAGCCCTTGAATCAACTTATTTGATCACATTGTTACTCAATCAATAAAACAGCCAACAGAAACCCATTTGCACAATCCATTCAATTTTGAACTGCTTCACTTAAAAGTAATCATCTTTCATCAAACCTCAAACTACCCAATGAACAAATCCAAGAAACTTAAACACCCAACAGACTAAAACTAAAAATGCATTACTAATCTCTACAGTTCCCAAAATCAAGAAGCAAAAGTTTCAGTAACTTCCCCGGCAAAAAGAAGGAAAGAACCAAATTGATGTTCAAATCTCCAGAAGAATTTAACGCAATTGTCACCTGAAACAAAATCTTGATGCGCTCGAGTGGCGCAACCACTGTTTTTGCAACCCCGCCGGCGACGCCACCGGCGATCAGCTCCTTGGCGAACACAGGCATGGACTCTATCATCCCGTCCAGGTACACGTTCATCTCTCTCTCTTCCCTCTTCTCTGACATTGCAGCAAACTTGGAGAGAGAGAGAGAGAGAGAGATTCTGGGTGTGTGATTGAAGGAAGAGTTGGAGCAGAGAGGAAGGAATGGGTTGAAGAATCGAAACGTCTCCTTTTGTGCTGCTTGTGGATTTTATATGTATCGGGTGAAGAAGAAAACGTCTCTTCAAGTCAGAGAAGCACACGCTTGACTTTAAGATTCCCCTTTTTTTAATGTAAGAGAGAGAGAGAGAGAGAGAGAGAGAGAAGAATTGTTGGGTGCGGAGTTTTTGTTCAGCTGCTTTCAGTTCTATTTTATTTTTTTAGATCAGGACCGTCCAATTAGTGGGCTAGTTTTGAATCATGGCCCTTTGAGGATTGTAATTGGGCACTCAAAGAGTTCGATGTAGTGGAAGGATTGACCGACATCAAATTTACTTTAACAGAAGTGATAAAGCCTGGTTAGAGCATTTATTTATAAAACATTAAATTCTGATTAAATTAGTAAAGAACTTGTAATTCAATTGAGTAAGAGCATTTACTTAAGTGGCGGTGTTCAACTTCCCTCCTGTCATGATCAATTGGATCCATTACTGTATCTCGTTCCCCAAATCCTCCATTTCTGTAAATGGTGAATTGACGGGATTCTTTGCTAGTAAGAGAGGCTTGAGACAAGGGGATCCTTTGTCCCCTTACCTTTTTGTTATTGCTATGGAGGTGCCCTCTTTATTAATTATCTCTAATATAAATGCTAGCCCTTCTTTCAAATACCATTGGCGCTATGAGGCAGTCTAGTTTGCTCATATTTGTTTTGTTGAAGACCTCTTTATGTTTTGTGGAAAGGATTATCATTCAACTAAGATCTTGAAGGACTCTTTATGTGGCTTCAATTCTTTGTTTGGTCTTAAGGCCAACCCAACTAAAAGCTCAATTTTTCTTGCGGGTGTGGATGAGATGAGCTTCCAGAATTACGCCTCTTTTCAATTTTGCCATAGGAATGTTGCCTATTCGCTACCTTGGTGTGCCTCTCATTTCAACAAAGCTTAATTTGCAAGATTGCTCCATTCTTACCGAGCGCGTTGAGGCTAGAATTAGAGCTTGAAGAGAACAAGGTCCTCTCTTTTGCCAATCGTTTACAACTTGTTCAATCTGTTCTCTATAGTATGCAAGTTCTTTGGGTGTCACACCTTATGCTCCCTAAGAAAATTCTCCGTGATATTGAGCAAAGGGTCTGAAAATTTTTATGGTTTGGTAAGCTTTCGGGTCATTAAGTTGCTAAAGTTGCTTGGGATGATGTGTGTCTTCCTAAATCTGAATGAGGTATTGGGATTAAAAAATTGATTCACTGGAATAAAGTGCTTATGGTTAAACACATCTGGAACTTACTCATCGATGAAGACAATATTTGGTCTGTCTGGGTTACAATCTATCTTTTGAGAAATATGAACTTTTGGCATATTAAGACCCTCCAAAATTGATCGTGGAATTGGAGGAAGCTTCTCCGATTGAGAGATTCTATTCGGCTTTTCTTTTTCCACAAAATTGGAGATGGTAAGGGAACATCTCTTTGGTATGATAATTGGCATCCTGTAGGTCCTCTTGTTGTCAATTAAGGTTGCCATATCATTGCTGATTCCAGGCTTCCAAAAACTGCTTTGATTTGCAATATTTGGAATGGTTCTAATTGGTACTAGTCTAATAATTCTTCTCATGAGTTGTTGGAAATTCAAATTTCTATGTCTAATATTGTGGCAAATCCTAGCTTGGGTGATATGATTCAATGGACTCCTTCGTTATCTGGCATCTACTCTACTGCTTCTGCTTAGGATAAGTTTCAGCAATCCAAGCCTACGGTAGGTTGGTCTTCTTTAAGTGTCTTTTTACCGATGGTATTTGGTCTTCGATGCTATTCAAGTGCGGTGTCCCTTGGCCTCTTTTTGTCATGTGGGCTACTAGCTGTTGCAAGGGAAAATCTCTATCATCGATAGTTTTGAAGTTAAGTCCTGCTAATGTGTATTATGTTTGGAGGGAGCGAAACAACTGTAGATTCAAGAACTCATGTCAACCCGATGCGGTAGTTCTCATCTCAATTAAGTCCACCATTAGTCTTCTATTGAGTTCTTTGAAAATCACCCATTTCGCTGCTAATGACTATACTTTATGGGAAATGAATATAACTATGAATAGTTAGTGCTTATTTTTGCTGCTTTGATACAACGTTGTTAGCTTTGCTGTCTGTTTTTCTTTTAGCTGCAACTTTTTGTTGCATGTTTGTATTTTCAGCTATTCTTTCCTGCTTGTATTCTCTTTTTCTCATCAATATATTTTATTTATCAAAAAAAAAAAAGGGAATCGAATTCGATTTTTTTATTTTAAATAATGACAAGATTATTAAATATTAAGAGTGCCTAAAACACAATTGACTAGGATATCTACGTTAGGGGCGGGCACAAGCTGAATCGGGTTTAAATTTAGTGGAACCAAAACCGACCTGTTTGGAAATGAAACAAGGTGAGCGGGTCGTCATATTTTCAAAAATAAAATTGGACCTAACTCGACCCGTTTGATACAGGCCAATTCCAAGAGGTCCAATGATCTATTTCCTAATCTAACGTGAAAAACCTGATGCAAATTTTATGAAGGTAGCGTGTCAGTAATGCTTGTGTTTATGTTCTATTTCCTTACTATGCAAATTCCTAACTAGAACCAAAATGCAAAATCCCAAGTCTAGAATTCATATCCAACTAAGTTCCTAACTAGAACCAAATGCAGAAAAACCCAAATTAGAGAAAGAACAAAAAAACCCAAATCAGAACCAAATCAAGTAAAACTCGACGGATTTCCTTAGAGACTCTCTTGAAGAATCTCAAATTACAAACTAGCAAACGAGGGTTGACGGCGACCTTGATCAACAGAGACGGTGAAGGAACTTGATTGACAAAGAACGGACAGAGACAAACATATACTAGACGGAGAAACGACGAACAGATTGATGACAAATGGACCAATCGACAACGAATGGACGAAGTTGCGAGACTAAGAGAGTCGAGAGTTGAGAGGTCTAAATCTCAATATTGGACGGTGGATAGGTCTGGGCCAGGGGCCCTTGTCTCCAACCCGTCCCGTTTTATGTATAAAATGTATAGGACCCATCCCTACCCACAGGTCCAGGGCCCATTTACCCACCCCTAATCTGAGAAACTCCATCTTAAAAGTTAAACAGGAAGATAAAAAATAAAGTGTACATATTATCCTTCTTCAAAGCAGCTCAAGCAACCCGAAAATTTTAACGATACAGTTCGCAATAACATACTTATTTCTTTTGTAGTTTCTTGTCAAATTTTTGCATTTTTATTTTTATTTTCTCCACTCTAAATGACTCCTATTTTGTCTTCAATAACCATTTACCCAAAAATTTACACACAAAATAGAAAACAAGTTGTCACTTATTACTACGTTTTAACTGTATTCCTCCTCGCTTATTAGTATGAAGTCTTATATTTCAATCTCATGAACCGCGAGTTTGAAACCATTTACACCTTCACTTCACCTTTAATATAAATATATCTGTGTATCAAAATTGAAAACAAGTGCATCTACTTTCTCAGCTACAAATCAAAGACCTCTTTGGTCAATTTCGACTTGAATTCTTATTGTCTCAGTGTCATCAGTCGATTAAGCCTTCTAATCACACATGTTCTGTTGTTTTATGGTATATGCTCAATGAAGAATGGATATTATATGGTTCTCTTTTCGGTACAAAACAACATGATTTATTCTAATTATTCCACTACCAAGTTGCAACAATGATGCGTGTAACACGTGGCAGCCGATGAGAATATTAAAGAAAATAAAGGAATTTCATATCTACTTGTCTAGAAAATAAAAAACAATCTAAGGAATCATTTTTTCATAGTTTATTAAAAAGAAAATCTAAAAGGAAATATTCTATCAGAAGGGATTTTGTGCCTTCTACTGCCGGTGATAAAATAGTTTTGGTTTAAATTTGACGATATCTCAAACTAATCATGCAGTGCTAATTTTTAATTTATAGGTTGCATATATGATAGTGTATGAATGGCTTGAGACACTAACACAATAGCATACCCGTTGTGATTTTTAAAATCCTCCAAACCCTCATGAATAATGGTTAGACTTACATTATCGTGATTCATCATTATTCCTCTACGAGTAGATAATGGTTACACTTACATTATCGTTTAAATTTTTAAAATCCTCCAAACCCTCATGAATAATGTTTTTTATATGAGGGCAAAATTAATAATAATTATTGTAGAAATATAAAAAATGTAAAAAAAAAAAATATACGATCACTCATAGTGACAAGCTTTACAACTTTCATGAAGGGGTTAGCTTCGAAATCCAACACTATAATCAATAAACCTTAAATTTATGTTTAACCGTCGATTGTCATTTACGCTTTATTCTTCTTACTGAATTTCATTTTTTAAATTTTCATTTTTTGAAAACATGATCATTTGGCGAATGTAAGAAGATGAACGGTTTAGATCTTTGATATCATGTTTCGATAATTGAAGGGTTTGATTGGAAGAAAATGTGCAAGGTTCCAATGTTCTAATGTTCCAATGTCCTTAATTTTGCAAATCTTTTGAACATTTGATATTTTGTAATTTTCTAATGTTTTTTTTATTATGCTCTTATTTTGGGTATGTAAATATATACTTAAAAGAAAAATGTGTTTTTATGTTTTCAATGTGACAATATGGTAAGTATATACTTATTTAGTACTATGTTTTTCATTTGATTATTTATTGATTTAAAATATATTTTCTTTAATGGGTAACGGATCGGGTCATATTACCTATTAATATGATCGAGTTGATTTCGGGTCGGATCGTTTTATCCGTTTATTTTAACGGGTGTTACACGATACGACCCTTTAAGATATTGGGTATAACACGAAAACGACACGAATGCTAGGTCTACATTTTTTCATAGTTTATTAAAAAGAAAATCTAAAAGGAAATATTCTATCAGAAGGGATTTTGTGCCTTCTACTGCTGGTGATAAAATAGTTTTGGTTTAAATTTGGCGATATCCCAAACTAATCATGCAGTGCCAATTTTTAATTTATAGCTTGCATATATGATAGTGTCTGAATGGCTTGGGACGCTGACACAATGGCATACCCGTTGTAGGAAGTTCTTTTACGAGTTTGAAGGCTTCATCAGGCATATGGGGGTCACTACATTTGATTTTCTTCAGAAGAAATTCTGTGGATGAGGTGAAGTAATGTCTTCCCGAGCTCCTCTCCATCACTCCATTCATGGATGTCAGCCTTGATAAGCACCGGGTTGCTGCAAATGCGCTTCCATAGAGCGTAGTCCTTCCTCGGCATTACATGGTCTCCTTCTACAAGCCTCAAACTCGGGCAATAATCGTTTCTCCCATCTCCTAAGTAGACAAACCTTTTCCTCCCATTGGCAGAAACAGAAGCTCGGATTTGGTCGATCACCACACCCTAAGAAGGAAACCATAGTCAGAACCTCAGTTTTATATCGAAGAAAGCTACTGTAACGAGGAGGAGAAAAGTTATGCAGTAAAACATATTGAAAGGGAAATAAGCCTCAATAGAATTGAAGCAAAACTAGCATTAGACCCGCTCCAAAACTTTTGTCCTCAAAAGAACCATCCGTTCACCCCCATAGCAGAATCGGTATAAGTTTTTAGTTTTACGTAGTGTGAAATAGTTAGGAGGGTGAGTGATAGAAAAGAAATCAAATCATTTTGTTCTGCATATTCTACGGAAACAACACACTTACCTTAAGGGCTAGCATGGAAGGACTGGGGATATGATATTGATACCTCTATCACAAACCTATCACGCAGCCAAAACGGCATCCAAGTTTTGTGTTTTTCTAAATGCCAGTGGAAACAGATTAGAAAGAAATGTGTACCACACTACAATGCGGCTCCTAGATGAAATGTGATCTTTTCTAGAAACCAGACAATATATACAATAGAAATGTCCATCAGTTGTTCTTGAAACAATTCTTCACAAAAGAAAAAGAAATTACAAACTGAGTCTGTCTTTGCTTTGTTGTTATTTGTTTCCGGTCCAAACCATATGATGCAGTCCTCGGAAAGCCATTAAAACCATATTCCTCGATAACCCTATGTATATCAGTACCTCAATGACAGTGCGTAATTTGTATCGAAAGAGAAGCTTGAATCATCCGAACCAATTAGTACTCGTGAAGCAGTATGACACCAGAGACACGCAGGTAATATATAACGAAAAAATGGATGATACTCAGACTCTGAATACACAAGCATCAAACAGGACACAAATGCATATTGGCATGTAAAGAAAATTTACCTTGCACAAATTTGGAGGGCATAGATTGCAGCCATGAAACGATGAACCTAAGTCACAGTGTGGGAATATTCTGAGTCTTCCATCTTGTTCTACAGAGGTTGGGTTTGTGACGATCTGTGAGAAGCATCCTAACAGACCATGACATTCCAAGATAGCCTCAATAAAGAACCGATTCGCATCGCTAACTATCCTCAAATCACATCTGAAACAATGACATTGAACACCACAACATTCAGTCACCACCAATCCATAAGAAAAACATAACTAACTTACAATCGACCATAAGGATTTGGATGAAATACTTACCCCGAAGCGTGAGCTGACTTAATAGCTGCAGTTACCCCCGGGTGCATTGGAATTCTTTTAAGACACTCCTTAATATCTTCAGAAGTTTTTCCTTGTAAATGCAGCTCCTCCGTCATTCTATCCTACTAGGTTTAACAATAAACATTAACAAGGCTAAAGTCGTTCGGCATCATAACATGTTTTCGATCATAGTTGTAAACTTTGTGAATATTCCCAATTTGCCAAAAGAGGGTGGGAAAACTGAACATAAAAAAAACCCAATAAGTCCATGATCAATGCATTTTCTTTTGTACAAGCGATATTGTTGAAGGGGGATCAAACTCGGGACTTCGGATGTAGAGGTGAATGCTGCAAACTGAGCTACAAGCACCTTGCGTCCATGATCAATGTTAAAATCCCACAAATGCAAGGATCTCTCAGCAATAATGCAAACCCAAATAGTATCCAAAATAGACATACACAGTGATTTGCATAAAAATTCTCAATCTTTTTTCATGTTCTTATCAGGCTAGAGGGTGTATTCAATTGGGATTTTGAGGGATTTTAATTAATTTAATGAAGGGTGTATTCAATTAAGAATTGAGAGACTTTAATGGATTTATAAATCCGTGGATTTTTATGAAGTTTAATTGATTTAGGATTTCATATAAAATTGTGATTCAATTCCCTCGAAATCTCATGGGGAGAGGTGAGATTTGTGGATGTTTAAAATACACTAGGAAATCTCTCTAATTCTCTCTAATTCCTCAACTTTCTCAAATTCTTTAAAATCAATTTCTAATTGAATACACCTGAAATGTTATAAATATCTTTAAAATCCTAATTGAATACACCGTATTTCTAAGAATTTTAATAAACTATCTTAAAATTCTAATTGAATGTATCTTAAATTTCAGAGAATCACTTAAAATCATGATTGAATACCTCTAAATTTATTAAAAGAATTAAAATCCCTTAAAATTCCAATTGAGTACACTCCCTAAAAATCCTGATTGAATACCCCTAAATTTATTAAAAGAATTAAAATCCCTTAAAATTCCAATTGAATACACTCCCTAAGCATATTTAATCAAGATTTTAAGAGATTCTCTAATATTCAAGATGTATTCAATTAGGATTTTAAAGAAATTTATAACATTCCAGATATATTTAATTAGAAATTAATTTTAAAGAATTTGAGAAAACGGAATTAGAGAGATTTCGTAATGTATTTTAAGCATCCACAAATCTCACATCTCTCCATAAGATTTCGAGAGAATTGAATCAAAATTTTATATGGAATTCCTACAAATCAATTAAACCTTATAAAAATCTATAAATTTATAAATTCATCCAAATCTCTCAAATTCTCAATTAATACACTTCTTAAATGTTCAAAATATAAAATTTCCTTTCTTTTCTTTCCCCAATTCTTAGCAACCAATCAGAGGATAAAATATCACTAAGAACACCATTTTTATGTAAATCTAGATAGAGAGAGAGTACAGACCATGAGTGAGTTCCATGGAAGAGTAGAGCGAATCTCATTGAAGAGCTGAGTGAGACCCATCTCCGTCACCACCCAGCTATCGCTGTCACCGTCGATTAGGGTCCGGTCAAAGTCAAAAACCACGACTATTCCCGCCATTATGCTCGCCGGATGTAGTTTCCCGGCGACCCAGAAAAGCGGTTTCACGGTAAATAGCTGAACGCGTCAACTGTCAGTCAAGAGTTAAGCGACGACGGCTTCTGCTTTTTTGTTGTCGGGAGTCTTGATACTTTGTTGCGTGTGTGTTTTTTCTCGTATACAAAAGTATTCATCCTTGGACACGATATTCCTCCCAATTTGTAAGTTAGGAGTGTTAGGGGGCGTTTGTTGCGTTGGACTATCTCGGACTGGATTAGCTTCAAGGACTAAGCTGGACTGGCTTAGACTAGACTAAACTGGACTAACTTAGTGAAGCGTTTGGTGCAGTATTGGACTAAGAAGCTGGATAATAACAAATTCTAATATTATATTATTTAATATATAATTATTAATATTTTATTATGATCTTATCTTTTTCTTCATCTTTTCCTACCATTTCCGTCCACTCTTTTCCTCTTCTCTCATCGTCCCACCCTCTCCCTCTTTTTTTCCTCTTAGACCTCTCAATTCATGTCTCTTTCTCATTCCTGGTCAAACTCCTTATTGATTCCAGTCTCTATTTCTCTGTCTTCCCTCCCTCCCTAGCTATGCGTTGTTCGAATGGAACCTCACGGCTCCAATTTTCCCGACGAGTTGTAGGTTTCCCGATATGTTTTTCGGCCAACCCTTGTTAAATTGGATGAAGTTAGCACCACCAAAAAATTCATCACCATCCCTAGACCGAGATCTTAGCTTTGAATGCTCGAATCTGTCATGGATTTGAAGAAGCCCAAACAGGCTGAGATTTCCAGGCCATTTTCCGGCCACATTCGACCACATTTTGGCCTTGATTCAGGTAAAATCGTAATCTTGTCACTCCAAGCTTCAATATGGTATATTTTATATGAAAGTTGGTTGTGAAATGGATCTGAAAGAGAGTCGGAAAGTTAATGATTGATCTAGGTGACCGGAGATGATGAGGAGTTTGTCGGGAGTGGTCGTTGAGCATGACGAGGATGAGAAAGAGAGGATAGTCTTAGCTAGTCCCATGGTTATTGGGGGGTCTCGCTAAGACCTCTTAGTGAAGGGTTTTGTCCATGCTAGTCCCCTTTAGTCTCATTAATGTTAGTCCCAGCATGGAACAAACACAGTATTGGACTAATAGTTAGTCCAGTCCAGTCCAGTCCAACCTAGTGAGGGCAAACAAACGCCCCCTTAAAGTTCAAATTTTCTTTTTCTTCTTTAAAAAGTGCGTTGTTGGTGGTTTTATTATGGCAATTCTCGTTTTTATAAACAGAAACACTCGTAGATGCATTTCACTATTTCCTGACCACTAGCGTTAACAATCAAATTCACATAATGTTGTATGGAATACGAGCCGTAAAATTCATCTTGAACCTAAGCCACATCGTTGTGTTTAATAAGTTTAAATTTATGGCCGTGATCATAGTCTATAGTTAGCTCATTATATGGCTCGAATTCTATATTTTTATTGTAGATACATCGTTATATTAAAATAATACTAGTTTTCAATGTTGATCAAAACTGAAATATACTTTGGTAAGTTCTTGCTTGATTTTGGTTTTTTAGTTTATAAAAAATTGTAATCACAATTGTAAGCTCATTGTGAGGTTGAGTGAACTCCCCTTCCTTTTAATGTGAATAATATCGTTTGTTAAAAAAAAAAAAAAAACTATTTCAAACGTTATAACTTCAAAATTGAAAAACAAAAATAAAATAATTATCAAAATGTCTCTAAATAAACATTATTTTGAGCCTTGTTGGAATTTTCAAGAACACAATAAGCACTAAGCAGTCTGTTTGAGGACAATGGAATATCCTAAAAAATATCTTTGGGTTTATTGTACTATTAAAAAGTGGCAGGCCTCAACGATCAAAAGTTATTTGACTTGTAGGTGATGTAGAAACAATATGATCCAAACACATCCAATAATTTTAGGTTTACAGAATCAAATTGATTTGTATTTTAATTGATAATTTTTAAACTTTGAATGAACTAGTCATTGATTGAGATGGTTAGCCAAAAAGCGAACAGGATCACTAAATTAGGAGCAATAGTCTTTACTCGTTCTTATGTGAATTCACAATTGAAACCAAACATATTCAGTAAAATTTATATTTACTAAGAAACCGATACAACCGTTATTATTTTGACGATTCTTAAAGATCTCTACTAATACGTAGCACAAGCCAAATTAGGACCATCCTCAAACTAAAGTAGAATGATCTATAAAACAACATTTTCCTTCATTGACCCAAACAACACAATTTCAGTTTAGCAAATTTGTTGCTTCCAAATCATTAGCTCAACGGTAGGTTTGTTTCCATCCGTAAGAGGATTCTTGTCCATAACAAATTGCTATAAAAAAAGACCTGCCAAATATTCTTTCAAATATTTGTTACCCTAATTTAAATATATTCCTTTTAATGCCAACCAATTCCATTGACACGCAAAAAGGCAACAACTTGATTCATTCCTTGTCACACTCTAACGATAGATTTTTCTGTATGATCGGGATATCACGTGTCATTATATAAATAGTGAGATATGTGTGTTAAAAAGTTAATAATTTAAAAAATAAAATTTATCTCCACTTATATAAAAACATATGTTGTACCACTCGTATTCCCGTCATAATAAAAAATTACTCTACTTTAACACACCAGAAGAAATAACTCAAATTTAACATAAATAATATATACACATGTGTTAGGTTGTAATTAACAGATAAAAAAAAAAAAAACTATTTTCTCTAAAAAAATTCATCGAAAAGAGCAACCCACCATGCACTAAATGTGATAAAAAGAGTTATTCCATCGTAATCATGATTAAGGTGGCATGATTAATCATTGAGTCAGATGAAAGGCAAAGCAACTGTAACTTCAAAGTCCCCCAAAACCATATAACACTTTATTTTTTCGGTAATGTATCTGCACATATATTTTTACTTTTCACTTTTTTTCTTAATTTTTGATCAACAAATTGAATGAAATGAAAAAAGATCTAATAAAAATTAATAAAAATCTACCCAGAAGGTAATTTTAATGTAGCCGATTTCCTCTCTTTTGTAATCAGTTTCACTATAGCACCTGCGGCTCTAGCCAATTGTCCATCATTTTCAAGTGTGATTTCTATGTTATGTATGACCGATCTGTCAAAATTATTTTTATATAGAATAAAAAATAAAACGGATATGGCTCACATGGGACCCACACCAAAGCTGGCCCAACGACAGGTCTCCACGTCACTAGACGCCAAACACTTCTAGTCAAACACACAATGATAAGGTAAGGAGGAATTGCCACTATCATTTCCCTTTGAGGTAAAAGAAAATGAAACTGTAAATCCGGATCCGTAAAACGAGCATCTAATTACGGTAAATAGCCGCGAGAAAGTTAACGCTAACGGCGCCGTATCGAGACACCCGCCAGAATTTGACAGCGGGTAAAAAAAATTTAACGGCTTGAAAATTCCGTTAGGACGGATTGGGAGTTGCAAGCGTCGGTGGTGGTTAACCGCAGGTTATTTTTTTCGGTTTAGAGAGAGAGAGAGAGAGAGAGAGAGAGGAGTCGCTTTGTATATAAGGCCACAGCGAAGCCAGAGGCCTACGATTTCTTGAAGGAAAGGAGAGAGAAACTCAGAGGAGGATAGAGAAGAAGGGGCTGTTTGGGAGACGCGCAGAGTGCAATTCATGGCTGAATCAAACGACGCCGTCTCCCTCGATATGGAGAAGATCTATCTCGGTGGAAAGGTTCGAGCTTTTTACTTCAAAGATTGAATTTTTTGAATTTTTCTATCCCTTTTTATTACCCTTTTGTTTTTGGTTTTGGGTTTGCGTGATGAGAGGTTGGGGTAATTGATGGAGCTGTTTGGCATTGTGTCAAGATTTTTGAGTTTAATCTTTTGAAATTTTTTTGAATTTTCTGTATTTTGCTTCTTGGGTTCGGATTCTGGAAAATTGGGTTTAGAATCCGTTGAATTTTTGGAGTTATTTACTGTTTGGTTGCCGAGAAAACGGGGGAAGATGGACGGGAAAGCTGCATTTCTGTAAATTTTGTATTCTGGGTTCTTTGTTGTTCCCTTGCCGCAAGTCCTCTGCGGACCTGTGGTGACAGCGACGACTTATTTGTCTTGATTCAGTGAAAAGAACACTAGAACAATTAAATTTTGGGATGTTTCTACATATCGGTTTTGTGAAAAATTAAATTTTGGGATGCTGGTGATGTAGAAATGGTAATTCTAGATCTGCGCGTGACGTATTTGCTTGATTTCAATTTTCTTTCTATATCAAATTCTTTCCTCTTTGGTGTGCATTTCTGTATTTGGGATTTGTATATTTAACATCTTCTTGCTGCATTTGCAATCTCACCTGGTTTGTTGTAATGGTGAAGTTTCTTATCTTTTCCATTCTCTTTTTGTTTTAATCTCATCGTGGTATTGTTCGAGTTTCGAACTTTTATGCGAAAAGATAAATGTTTGGGATAAAATTGGATCATTAGTGTACAGATTATTGATTTAGACCCTTTTGTTGATTTCTTTGGAATTCAGCGTCAACTCAGTGATGCGGGGTTTTATCTTTTCTCATTCACTTTTTTGCTGTTGTGTTTTCTATGGTTTTTTCTTTTTCGGTTTCTCGATTCCTTGCTTCTTATGTGATGTTCTTTGTTGGCAAGAAGCGGGTTGCTTCGATGAGTCCATCTCTGGGGTTTATTCAATGTCTGTTATCCTATATTGACGAAACAAAAGTTATACCTTCCTTTGTCTTACTTCTCAACTCTATCAACGAGTCTAGCTGTTCCTTTAACAAGTCATCTGTATCCTATTTTTTTAATCGGTTTCTGATTAGTTTAAAGTCATTTTCTTCTTTAATATATTTGATTCCATGCTTCTCTTTTTAACTGTTTGTTTCATCTTTTTTTTAGCAAAGTTATGTCAGAGATGAAGCAGGTGAGTTTTGAGTCCCTTGAAAAAGTATAAGTGCACATGGGAAGCCCTTTACGCAATAAAATTATCTGGAACACCTGGATTCCTGGGTTTTTTTCCCTCTTTGATTATAGATAAAACACAGTAGATATCTCGAGAAAATGGCTATATGTTTTAGCTTTATCATATTTAGAATAGCATGGTAGTAAAATAGTTGGATTTGCAGCTTTTTGATGTTTTATTTGACAATTAAGTTTAGTTGTTAATCTGCAACCTCATTTATCATGATTTTTCATCCTCAGGAACATTTTATTCGAACTGGCTGTGGTTCAGTGTCTGTTATCGTGTATGGAGACCAAGAGAAGCCTGCACTTATCACTTATCCTGATTTAGCTCTAAATCGTAAGTGTGATAGAGTCTATTGTCCTGGTTCCATTTACATTGTTTGAAATGACAATCTGAGATTAACCCTTTGCTATTCCTGATAAAATCTTTAGACATTATTTCCTCAATGGACATCAAAGCGCTCAAATATATTTATGTTTATTAGCTTCTTCTTGACATAATTAGACTATATATTCCTAACTTTTCTGTTTATTTTGTCAAATTGAGCAGATGTGTCTTGTTTCCAAGGGTTATTCTTTTGTCCGGAAGCGGCTTCTTTGCTGCTCCACAATTTCTGCATATATCATATCAGTCCTCCTGGCCATGAGGTCTGTAAATGGTTTCGCTTCAAGTGGATTTTTATTATTATATCTGTTTATCAAATCATATAACTTTTATGAAAAATACTTTATGTAACTGAAAGCCATTATTCACATAGTTTCTCTTTGGAACTCTCACAAGAATTCTTGCAGTTAGGAGCTGCTTCAGTTTGTCCAGAGGATCCTGTGCCTTCAGTTGATGACTTGGCAGATCAGATCCTTGAGGTTCTCAATTTTTTTGGGTAACGACCAACACTGAGTCTTCATTTTAATTGATTTTCAAGTTGTGAGTGTTTGAAACTCCTTGCTGTTGCTTCCAACATTCGAATGGTGTAGAAGCGTGTTTCCTTCTTTGCTAATCATGTTTTAATGTTGTTTTCTCTTATTGCACTAAAATCTCTTTGTGCAGGCTTGGTGCAGTTATGTGCATGGGGGTGACAGCGGGTGCTTATATCCTTTCCCTATTTGCTGTAAGTTCCTTAAACCGTTTGCAACTATATTTAAAAAAATTCTATCTCAGTTCACTGATCTGGGTTTGTATCATAGATGAAATATAGGGAGCGTGTCCTTGGATTGATACTTGTATCCCCTTTATGCAAAGCGCCCTCTTGGACAGAATGGTTTTATAATAAGGTTCCTTTTTCTAAACGTAGCTGTTATGTTTATAGTAAATGATTAATTTCAAATATTTTACCTATGATTAGTCGTAATCTGTAGGTGATGTCGAATATGCTTTATTTCTATGGCATGTGTGGTTTGCTAAAAGAGTTTTTGCTTCAGCGATACTTCAGTAAGGTACTGCCGTGCTCTGACAATGTATGGGTTCTCTTTCACATCTACTATATTTGCTAGATTTAGTGATGAGTATGTTATGTATCTCGACAGGAGGTTCGTGGTAGTGTTGAAGTTCCAGAGTCGGATATAGTTCAAGCATGCAGAAAAGTCAGTGCTTCAGCTTATTGAAATTTCTTTTACCTCAATAGCAATTCGATTGTCCTTCTTCTTGTTTGTTATGTTTTTTTAAGTGTTGGATTTTCAAATGGTTTTATCTCTTCGATTCACTCGGAAAGTTTCTTCTTCAGTTGCTGGAAGAGAGGCAGAGCTTAAATGTTTGGAGATTTCTTCATGCAATTAATCGGTAAATGGTGCTGGAGTTGCTATCTAGCTCTCCCTCCGCATGAGTGCAATATATTTTGCTGTGCTCTAACTTTGTTTTCCCTACTTGCAGGAGACCTGACATAACCGAAGGGTTAAAATCTCTAAGGTGTCGCACACTTATATTTGTTGGGGATAGCTCTCCCTTCCATTCGGAGGCTCTCCACATGACCTCAAAGTTGGACAGGAGATACAGTGCCTTAGTAGAGGTACGTCCACTTTTTTCTGTTTGGCATGTTTTTACACGTTCATCGGTAGACGTGCATATAGTTGTGAAAATAACTGGAAGAGCGTGTTCAATAGAGGATGGATGGGGTTGTTAATGCAGGTCCAGGCTTGTGGATCCATGGTGACAGAGGAGCAGCCACACGCAATGTTGATACCAATGGAGTACTTCTTCATGGGGTATGGCCTGTACCGGCCATGCCATTTCAGCGACAGCCCTAGGAGCCCGCTCAGCCCGTCTTGCATCTCCCCGGAGCTTCTCTCCCCAGAAAGCATGGGCCTGAAACTAAAACCGATAAAGACCCGTGTTTCACTTGGCCTATGACAATGTCGGAAGACAGGCAGAAAACTGGAAACAGTGCAAAGGGATGTTGGGATTCGAAATCTGCTTCGATTTTTTGGTTCTTTTGTTAAAATTTTCGTTGTTTAAGAAGGAAAAGGGTAGACGAAGATGAAGCGTCCGGAGGGAGAGGGGAGAGGATGGTGTAGATACAGACGGGGAAGAAGAATATGTGGATGTCATATATATATTATTAAGTATAATCAAATGTGTTGTTAAATAGTAGGAAGGAGACTTTCATTCATTCTTTTGTAGTCACTCAAACAAATTGGATTGACATTTATTCATGATGACGAGAAATCAATAACAAAGGGGGGACAACTCTTCCCATTCATTCACACAATCTCTCTCTCTCTCTCTCTCTCTCTCTCTCTCTCTCTCTCTCATTATTCAAGCAAAGTATCCAATCTTTCATCCCTAATTGAGTTCGGTTGGCTTTTGGCTTGTGCCTTGTGACTCGAATAGTTACAGGTGTTCATTTTTGCATGCTAAATTCAAGTACTTTTGAAATTCAAAAACATTTAAAAAAAAAAACGGTTTTAGTTATTTTAAAAGAATTAAACGAGTAATTTTATAGTTATTATTTCAAAAAAAAAAAGTTTTTTCTATAGTTGGGTTTTGCATTGCTGCGATTCCAAGTCTTTTTCTTTATCGGGTCTTATTTGTGGGCTCGGCAACGTCCGCTTCAGATTAGGATCCTCTTCAAATCTTCTTTGTGGGAATCTAAGGGATCAATCAATTGTGTCCGTTCATCGTATATCGTATGATCAGTTTTTATTATGTATTATTATATTTAATTTTAAAATTTAAATTTACAATGATTTATAACCACACGATATACAATAGACGGATACATTTGATTGATCCTCTGAACCCCTCCCAAGGCGGATCCTATTCCCGTCGGGTTGGTCATTTGTAATTTGGGTTACTGTAGCCGTTTCTACGATAAGCCTGTTTATCGAACTTACAACCGTTGGATTTCATCTAACGGTGTCAAGACGATACCGCAGCATTTTGCATGCCCGTAATCCGTACTAGACGCATTCCGTAAAGAAACGACATCGTAGCTCACCACTTCATCTTTATCCAGACAATAGGAAGCAGACCACCGAAAATCCCGCGAGAACAGTCGTGGGTTTAAGACTTCAAGTAAAACCCATACCCTACCCTTACCCTACCCAGGAGAGAGAAAGAGAGGGAGCACCAGCTGCTGCTGCGAGAGTCGGCAACCACCGTTGCCGGCGTTCATCCGTTACCGTCTTGGTTGCACCTGTAAGTGAAAAGCTTCAATTTTTAACTTTTTTATTTCTGAAAGCTTGAATTTTTTGAATTGTGTGATATTTTCGTGTATATGTTGCCCTTTCTTTTTGAGTTCCTTCATTTTGGTATGATATTATTATTTTTGTTTGATATATTTGATGATTAAAAACTGTTTGACATAGATGGAATGTGGCTTAATTGGTGTTGGAATGTCACCTGCTTTCCGGAGGCTCTTGTTGCCAATTTCCCAAAATCCCTCGCTTCGATTGCAGAACAAGCTTAGTCCAGTTTCCAGGTCGCTATCGCTTCAATTAAAGCCTTTGTCTTGTGCTGCTTTGGATGTGATTGACTCGAATCCCATCAGTGATTCGTGTCTCGAAAGTGCCCCAAACTCTGAGACTCAGCTTCGTCAAGTAAGATTAGATAATGGCTATTCACCTGACCAGGAAATTGTAGGAAGCAATGTGAAAACCAGGCCTCTAGTTTTCGATACCAAAAAGAGGCTTATGCATTATTCTGGGATGCTTCGTACCTGTGTTTCGCTAAGGTCTTTGAATGAGGGGAAGGCTATTCATGGACAGGTGATAAAAGAAGGGATTGATCCGGATTCACATTTGTGGGTTTCATTGGTTAATGTTTATGCAAAGTGTGGGGACTCCGGGTATGCACGTAAAGTGCTTGATGTGATGCCTGAAAGAGACGTTGTGTCATGGACTTCTTTAATTCAGGGGTTTGTAGTCGAAGGTTCTGGTGTTGATGCTGTTAAATTGTTCTGTGAGATGAAGAAAGATGGTACAAAAGCAAATGACTTTGCATTGGCAACTGGGTTGAAAGCATGTTCATTGTGCTCCGATTTAGGTTTTGGGAAACAGTTGCATGCTGAAGCAGTGAAACTGGGGTTGTTATTGGATGCTTTTGTTGGTTCTGCTCTAGTTGGCCTTTATGCAAAATGTGGTGATATGGAACTTGCAGATAGAGTGTTATTTTGTATGCCTGAGCAGGATGTGGTATCATGGAATGCACTGCTGAATGGGTATGCTCAGGAAGGCGACGGAAAAAAAGCTTTGGAATTGTTCTGCAGAATGACGGAATCAGAAATGAGGTTGAGCAAGTCCACCTTGTCCACTGTCCTCAAAGGTTGTGCAAACTCGGGAAATTTGAGCGGAGGTCAGTTTTTGCATTCTCTAGTTGTCAAAATTGGGTTTCAGACAGATGAATTATTGGGTTGCAATCTCGTTGATATGTATTCAAAGTGTGGGATGGCAGTCGATGCGGTAAAAGCATTCAGGACGATTGAAAATCCTGATGTAGTGGCCTGGAGTGCAATTATCTCATGCCTTGATCAACAAGGGCAATGGCAAGAAGTGCCTCAGCTATTTCGTGAAATGATAAGTACAAGCATCTCACCAAATAAATTTACCCTTTCTAGTATCATTAGTGCTGCCACTGATCTCGGAGACCTTCATTTTGGTGAAAGTATCCATGCTTTTTCATGGAAATATGGTTGTGAAGCTGATATTCCAGTCAGCAATGCTCTAATCACAATGTATATGAAAAGTGGGCGTTTGCTAGATGGTGCTCAGGTTTTTGAGGCAATGACAAACCCTGATTTGATTTCATGGAATGCCCTTTTATCTGGAGCACACAATCATGAATTATCTGACCTAGGGCCAAGAGTCTTCCACCAAATGCTTGTCGAAGGTTTGAAGCCCAACATGTACTCATTCATTAGTATTTTAAGGTGTTGCTCTAGCCTTTTGGATGTGGACCTTGGAAAACAAATACATTCCCATATTATCAAAACTAACCTCGATGATAATGACTTTGTTGGGACAGCTCTCATTGACATGTATGCCAAAGGCAGGTTCGTGGAAGATGCTGTGAAAGCTTTCAATAGATTGAGTAATCGAGACCTCTTCACTTGGACAGTCATCATTACTGGTTATGCCCAAACTGATCAAGCAGAGGAATCTGTTGCTTGCTTCAATAAGATGCAACAAGAAGGCGTGAAGCCAAACGAGTTCAGCATTGCTGGCTGTTTGAGTGCTTGCTCCCGTACAGCTATGCTGGAAAATGGGCGGCAGCTCCACTCAATGGTAATTAAGAGTGGGCATCTGGAAGATTTGTTTGTTACTAGTGCACTTGTTGATATGTATGCAAAATGTGGGTGCATAAGTGATGCTGAGGATATCTTTGAGGGCTTGGTTTCACGAGATACAGTGTCATGGAATATTATGGTGTGTGGATATTCCCAATATGGGCAAGGAGAGAAGGCTCTTGAAGCCTTTTCGACAATGTTGGATGAAGGTGCCATACCAAATGAGATCACCTTCATTGGTGTTCTTTCTGCATGCAGCCACCTGGGTCTAGTCGAAGAAGGGAAAAAGCACTTCGACTCACTGAGCAATGTTTTCGGGATCACTCCTACAATTGAGCATTATGCTTGTATGGTTGATATTCTCGGCAGGGCTGGAAAGTTTAATGAGATTGAAACCTTTATCGAGACAAAGGAACTAACACCATATGCCATTATTTGGGAGACTGTTCTTGGGGCTTGTAAGATGCATGGAAATGTTGAATTTGGTGAAACAGCAGCAAGAAGGCTTTTTGAGCTTAAACCTGAGATGGATTCAACATATATCTTGCTATCTAATATCTTTGCAGTCAAAGGCAGGTGGGACGATGTTAGCAAAGTCAGGAAATTAATGCAGAGTCAGGGTGTTAAAAAAGAACCTGGTTGTAGCTGGGTTGAGGTTGATGGTCAAGTCAACATTTTTGTCTCTCAAGATGGTACGCATCCAAGAATTGGGGATATTCATTTGAAATTGGAGGAACTAGGAGAAAAGCTAAATTCATTAGGTTATATACCGGAAACAGAAGACGTGTTTCATAGAATCACTGAAAGAGAAAAAAAAGAACATCTCCAATATCACAGTGAAAGGTTAGCTCTTGGTTTTGCCCTTATAAGTACCAGTCATCCGAAAACTATTCGGATCTTTAAAAATCTACGCATCTGTGGAGACTGCCATGACGTTATGAAGCTTGTCTCCGATGTCACAAATCGGGAGATAGTTGTTCGTGACATCAGGCGGTTTCATCATTTTAAGAATGGAACTTGCTCCTGTAAGGACTTCTGGTGATATGGCATTAGAAGCTCTATATCTGGATAGGGGTTCACCAACAGTGAATTCTAAACACTTTCCTCGTTATGAGCTGAGCCACAGTTTCATACCAAAGGAACTCCGCCCTAATCTTATCAGAGTACTTCTTCATGACATATTATGTGCTTCTTTTTTCATATCATAACTAGACAATTCAAAAAATTGTGGTTCCTGATTAAATTTTTTTTTTTGTCTGTCGAACAAAATGAGCAGGTATGCCCCGTTCAAAGTCCTTTTTGTCCTGAAGCGGCTGCTTTCATGCTCCGCATCTGCATATATCATATCAAATTCTTCTTGCCAGAAGGTCTGTAGATGGTTTTCGTTGAGTGCATTTCTATTATCTTTGTTTCTAGAATCTTATAATTTTTTGGAAGAATATATTATGAATCTGAATGCTGTTATTCCGTGGTTTCTCTTCAGGACTTCACAATAGTTCTTGCTGTTGAGAGCTGCTTCGCTCCTGATGATCTTGTGCTTCTGTTAATGACATGGTAGAGTCCTTGGGGTTCTCAACTATTTTGTGCAGCTATGTTAATAACTACTACCGTCTCTTCATTAATCACGTTTGGTCTGTACATGAGTTAAGGCAAACAAGCTCGTGCTTTGATACATATTCTTTGTATGCAGAGCACCCGCTTGGTAGGCCGAGTGATGATTATGCTATGCATGTCAATAGGAGGTTCGGCATTCTTCTGAAGTTCCCGAATCAGATATAATTCGAGCAAGCAGTACCCTGTCTAGAGGATGAGTTGCCTTGTTCATGAAGTTGATAGCAGGGGCACATCCAAGCACGTCTCTGCTTCACCTGTGTAAAAGAAGAAAGTGCCGCACCTCTACAAGTGGAAATCCTGGGTCGTGTAGACTGAACGGGGAGTCAGAAACAAGCAGTATAAAACTGCAGCTGCTCGGCGTCTATGCTATGTGAAGTTGGAAAGCCAGACGGTACCATCGTCTTGGCTGCTGTCGAGTATTATTGTGAATATTCATTGGGTTCTAGACACTAGTCGCCCTAAGGGGTGCTGTAAATCTGATTAAAGCTTCAGCATGATATGGAATCTTTGATGGTCTTTATTTTTTACCATTTATTACGTTAATTTTTGTTACCCTGATTATTTTGACAGGTTAAATCCTCAAAAAAGGGAGCTACAACCTAATTACACTTCCATGGCAGTTTGACCTCCGATCGAATTTCCCCTTCATCCGACCGGAATTCCCAAAATTGAACCAGAATAAACGACTCGATCTCAAAGAACAATAAGACATTTTCGAGTCCCCGACTGTCCAAAGTAGCACCAAAATTTTATGCTTCACCAAGATGTTTATATTCCTCACTATTGCACAACAAATGTGACATGTCCCATCAAGAAAAATAAGTTACACCAAAAATGCGACATGCCCTATTTAATGACTACTAAAATAACAACAAAACTGGTACGGTACGGGACGGTGCAGCGTCACCCTACGATAGTATAGTATACATTTTCATGGATCTCCTAAGCAATGACATTACTGCTCTTCTCATTCTGTATCCTCGTCGGAATGTGGATTCTCAGCTTCACTCCCACTGTTTATGCTATCGTTGCTGATAAGTGAGGGCCTCCCACCAGCTGAGTCGGATTTCTGATGAAGGTCATACTTAACAAATTTTATCTTCTCCTTCTTCTCAGCGTTTTTCCCTTTTCGTTTTCTTCCCCTTTTCTCCGACGATGTCATTGCATGTGCAGCATCCACAAATACAGCATTCGTGGATCTGTTCACCTTTTCATCTTCCTCATCTTTGTGTTCATCTTCTCCCTTGTTATCTATGTAAAAAAGTTCGTCATCCACTTTCTTGCCATCCAACTTCGAAGCTGCTGGTTGCAAGGAGTCTGATTTGGATACATCAAGAGCCAGTTTGGTACGAAACTTCACAATGCTATCACCAAATAATTTGAAGCCTCGATCCTCAAGGTTAAGAAGCCATTCTGGATAATTAGATCAATATTAGAGAGAGCTTTAATAAAAACCTGCAAAATTGAACCTGATTGCACCATCATCCACATAAATCTGTTTCTTTACCCATTTAATTATTTGAGAAGGTAACTTTGAACCAGAAAATGCGTTTACATAAGAGACGGCTCTCCTCTGATCCCGGTTCTCCCTGAAGAAAGCCACTAGTGAGATTTTCCAAAAGGGTTTCATTACAATCTAAACAAGAAGATGAAATGTAATTGTTCTTTACATACCTAAAATATTCCACTGCTTCATGAGCAACGATCAATCTTTCCATGGCAATACTTTTCATGAGCTCAGCAGGTACGTGAATCACTCTCTCGGGGTCAGGGTTGAGGAACGAATACTCAACCAATACGATGGCATCATACAACACTTTTCTCAACAAAACTTCATCTTCATTACTCTGCATATAAAATTTAACTTGTTATCCTCTTTAGTTTTAAGATCGCATCAACAGATTGAAAACTCTCAAACAGGGAGGAGAAATACTTACCAATAGGGAGGTAACAGGCAAAGTCTCCTCCAGCAGCATCCTCAAAAGGACATCTATGGACATACATATAAGCATGTTAGCACAAGGCATGCAGTGACTTACGCTACTTATGACAGAATTTCACCTTTTGAAATCAACGCAACAAAAGGAGCATACAAATTCAAATGACAGTCAGAAAACCAGCAAAGCAGCCACATTAAGAAGTTTGTATACGATAACAACGAGAAACACTTAATGTCTTCCCTAAACATTTTCGGTGCAAAATCCTCAGCCATTTAAGTTTATGCAGAAATCATGCCTTCAGTAAAATTAACTATGTCACGTTACTCAAATTAAGACAAAAGTTAAAACACTAACCGAAAAGATAACAGTTCTGAAACATGGTAACGGAACCAATAGCCCAAGTGCTTAACTCCTTCTCCAACTCCTTCCACGAAGTCCAAGACTTTGAAATCCAAGCAGAGTTTCAACAAAAACACTCTGCAATAACGACTCCAGCCAAGTAATTCACATCACATTCTCCCTCACTAAGCCCTCCAAAAATGTCATAGCTCACTAAGGGCAAGAAAGATTCCAACCCCCATTTGAGTTCATCCAAACACGAATTAATCCCATCACTGTAATCAACCCATCACTCTCACCCGAATCCTAACAAGAACACAAATTAATATAACCAAGAATCGTTCCCACAAAATGCCTAACCTTTCTCATCACTTTCTTCTCTCTCTTTAACGACAAGTCCCTCCTAAACAAATCAACAGACACATTGTACACCTTGCGAACCACCGGAGCGAGCAGCGCGACACTCTTCGAAGAACCGCAAGAAGCAGAGCACATGGACAGCAGCTGAAATAAGTCCTCTGCGGCTGACACTCGATCCAAAGGATCGTCTTTCGGATGATTCCGGCCCTGAAAGGTCAATGCGGCGGAGACCCAGATGAATTCGAGATGCGGGTCGACTCGGGTTTGCATCAATTCGTAGAATTCCTCAATAAAGTCAGAGAATTTGCGGTTTTGCTTGTCAATTTCGGATAAAAGGTTTTGGATTGATTGGGTTAGCTTGAGGTCGTAGTTTTTGCCGATTAGAGTTTTCATGTTGGTCGTATCTGGAGAATTTGTGGAGCCAATTAGAGGGAGAGCCATGGTTGAATGCTGAAATGCGACCAATTTGTGCTTCGGTGAGGAATGTGATAGAGAAGGAGATGAGCTGAAGGAAAACCCTAATTCTATGCAACGGGACTCTAGGGTTTAAGGGGTAAATGATTGACAAGCACCTCATTTGAAAGTGTATTTTAAACCAGTGAAAGCGTTTTACTGAAAATATTTTTGAGTATCAGCATTTTAAAGTGCATTTGAGAAGAATCTATCATTATATACTTATTTTAAAATTTATTTGTATTTTTATTAAGAATTAGTTTTAAAATCGTTTTTATATGATTCTCAATAAAGCTAAGTGATTTTACAAAAAAATTTCAAGTGCTTCTTTTTATAAGTGATTCAATATCTCTTCCAAGTTAGTTCCTAATCTATCCACTATAAAAAATAAAAGTTATCAACTATCCATGTTGTTTATACAAGAATTCAATGTAACTAGTACATTATTTTGTTGTATTACTAATTCAATTATTGTAAAATGAGTGAACGACATAGTTAACATTCATTTTACTTAATGTATATTAGTTAGATATAAGATAATTAGATAATAAGGTATATTATTTGACAAAAAATAAAGAAGATAATTAGATACAAATCCATTTGCCCACTCAAAAACTACTACTTTTTTTCTTCTTCTTATTTTTAGTTACGCCCAGTGTACTTTGATTTTGATCTCATTTTATCTTTTAAAACTCAAAGTTCGTTCCATATTATTTAGTTTCTATTATTTCCATTCGAAAAACATCAAATATGCTGATGTGGATTAAAAATTACATTTTTAGAGGGCTTATTTTTAGTTACATTCTCTGAAACTTGATTTCGTTCTCACTTTGCCCTGAAACTCAAATCTATTTAATATCAAATTTGAAACAAAACAATCTAGAGTGAACTTTGAGTTTTAAGAAATAAAGCATAGATTTTTGAGTTTTAGGAGATAAAGTAAGATCAAAATCAAGTTTCAGAGAACATTAACAAAATATAAGCCTAAACTTAACAATTATTTAATGAAATACACAAAACAAACCAGTCTAGCAAATATTGGATTTTAAGGAATAAATGACGATTTTTGAATTTCAAGGCTGGTATCTAAAAATACGCTTTGTTTTTTCCTTCTTATTCAAGGATAGATTTTTCAATGTAATTGGAACACGGGATGATATACCATGTGTTATTGTATAAATATTGGGATATGAGTGTTAAAAAGTTAATAACTTAAAAAATACAATTTCTCACTACTTATATAAAAACACATGATATGCTACCTGTAATGATGAGTTGCGTGTTCCCGTTGAGAGATTTTTCAGCGTGACTATCACACGACGTGGTACATTACGTGTCTCTATATAAATGGTGAATTATGTGTGTTAAAGGTTAACAACTTCAAAATTAAAATTTTCATCACTTACATAAAAATACGTTATGTACTATCGTGTTCTCATTACAACTAAAAATTTCTTGTTCCTGTCACCTCGAACAATTTTTCCTTCTCAAGACGACCATGGACGTGTCGTCTCGTACTCTATTGGTTGAAAAGTGGAACCACCACATACGGTACTCTGGCTAGCCAATCAGATGCTGAGAAACACGTAAGCAGCCAAGCAAATCGATTTCACGACTACATCGTTGTACTGACAAAACGAAAGATTGAACCTGCCAAAATATAAACAATCAAGATCGTTTCTTTTCTGGTGAAAAATCCTCATAACGATCCACCAACTTAACTGCCCTCCTCACTGTTCGATTCAAACTCTGCGTTCTTGTTCAAATTCTAAAGAGAGAGAAAGAAGAGAGAGAGTTATGGCGAAGCTGAAGCAAATTCTAGTAGCTATCTCAGTGTTGTTGGCGGTGTTAGCGTCCGTGCCATTCTCCGAGTGTGCTAAGAAGCCGGCGGCCGGCGCCAGGAAGGAAGACATTCCTTTCATCAAATGCCAAGTCTGCGAGAAGCTCGCATCTCAGCTGCACCAACAAGTCGAGAAGAAGCGAGCTGAGATCGCCCCAAAGACGGTATTGAGATTTCCAAGTGCTTTTGTTTGAGATTTCGATTAGTGGGTCTTGTTCCTTGTGTTGAATTTGATTGAGGGTAGTTTGTTTTTTTTGGCGATAGGTCTCGGAGTATCAGATTATTGAGATTTCGGAGAATGTCTGTAATTTGAAGAAGCAGGAAGCCGATTGGATTTTGCAGATTGATATAGTTGAGAAAGGAGATAAGTTGGAGGTATGAATAGCAATTGTTTTGGGTTTGATTTCGGTTTTAGAGCCGTTTGATGTTTTTGGATCTTGCTTTGGAGGTATGAATTGGTGTTTTCTGTGCTTTTACTTGATACGGTGTTTTCATCAGAGAAATTATTGCTTTAGTTTCATGAAGGAGAACATTTGTTTCTCTGCGGGTGTATAGCGCAAGTATGACAATGTCGATGCAGTTGTACAAACTTCAGTCGGGTATTGTTGTATAGACACTTTGTTGTTCATTGTCCTCACCTGCTAGATCATTTGTTACTTTTCAGTTGGTGGATCAAGGTTCTGAAGGACAATGTAATTCCGAATGCAAGACAATCGAGCGAGCTTGCCAGGAGGTGAGGTTTTCTGGGTAAATTTGCTTCCTAATACAATTGTTCCTCGAAGCCAATCTAGTTAGATTCGCTGCCCTTTCCTTTTGGTTGACAGAGGAAGTCGACGACTGTCGAATGATTTCTTAATAGAATAACAAGTGATCATTCCATATTGAGATGAAGTTAATCTGTTAGACTGTTACAATTAAACTAAGTGCGAATGTGGAATATTGCAGGTTTTGGGGTATTCTGATACAGATGTTGCAGAATATCTATATACATCCAAGCCTGACCTTGGTTCGTTGGTGAATTATCTATGCAAAGACCTCACTAAAGCATGCAGTACCAAGCCTCCCCCCGTTCCTAAGGTAACTGCTTTCTTTGACTTGATATTCGATTCACTTCATTCTTTGCGCAATGCGTGTTCAAGGATCATGCTATTAAAGGTATGCAAATTAGGTTTTTGAAGCAAACAAAAGATGCTGGCCTTGAAATTTGTTTTTACACTCATACGTGACCACCGATGGTATCTTTTTATTCCATAACCTACAAAATTTGAGACCCTAGTAAGAATGACATGGAGATTTGTGGCTGCTGCCTCGCATACATGTTAATCTCTAGTCTCTACCACTATTATTGAGGTCTCTAGTATCATTATGTTACGTAGGATAGCATTCTAGATGTTTCACTTTGCACAACTTGTTCCACGATCAAGACACTTTACTTTGATACTCATGATATTTTCTTGTGTGTTCCAGAATAGGATTCCTGGGGAAGCTTTCGTGGCCAAGTCGGAGAAAGAAGCTGAAATGGAAAGGATGATGAAATCTATGGAGGTAATTGTCCTTACATCGCTGAGAAACTTCATACCATTCTAGTGGTGCTGAACTTTTGAGCTATATTCTGCTTTACCATTCTTCAGGGTATGCCAGGAGCCCCAGGCATGAAGATGTACTCAAGAGATGATTTGATGAACATGAATAATTTTGGTGGCAAAGATGCTGATGATGAAGATGATGATGACGATGATGAGACTCGGTTACCCTCAAATTTGGTAATTACAGAATTTTAACTTCAAAAATTCTCCAACCAAAATCGTATTGTTTCTATCGACATTTAAAAATTTTCACTCAACAGGGAAAAATCATGAGAGAAAAAGAGAGTGCAAAGAATGACTTGAAACAAAAGATCACCACCGGAATTGTGAAGACCAGAGAGACACTAAAGAAGCATGCAAACAAAGTCTCTAACTGGTTACGGCAAACATGGCGGCGAGTGAAAAAGACGGCTTCAGAGAAGAGTACAAAGGGCAACAAGGGAGAGCTTTAGAACACAAACTCAAGAGAGTTATAGGAATTGTAGTAGAGAGTAATCAGGTTTTTGTTAATTGTATCAATATGCTTATGACATTTTAGGTAGAAATTTTGATCAAAAGTTGGAAGACATTTGCTTGAGGTTTTACACTACGTTGTTTTTCATTGCAATTGTATCAATTTCTGCTACATTGCTCGAGTTTTCGTAGTTTATGCGAACGAAAAATCTTAAAGAAGAAGTAAGAACAGATGAGATTTATAGAATTGCAAGACATCAAGTAAAATAGATCAATTCAAAACCTTTTAGCACCAAAATTTTGACATTACAATTTTAAGAAATGAATAATTCGAAGTACATAGGCTACAATGCTGCCTCCTAGCACACATCTAATGAGAGGCAACAATCCACAACACTGAGTTTGTTGCAATTATGGATTGCTTTCTTGATGGAGCAATACCAAAACGCAACTTAGCGCATTTTGTAGCATTGTACCCTCGAGACTGTGCATCGTCGGCCATTTAACGAATACTTGAGCATTATGTCAATATCACGGGGATTCTTTTTGTTCTGCGCCACAGTCATGCTTCCGACAATTGACTCTCCTTGACATACTGTTAGCACATCTTCCAGGTACAGGACTGTTTGCTTCCAGTGAGTAGACCGTGATCTTGGCCCTGCATTACATTTCACTTTGTCAGAAAAGATATGATTACCTACGGAGAAGCAGGTTGTATACACCATACAGTAGTTAACTGAAAAAATTGAGTTGCGGAACACCACACTGAGGAAATTAAAACAAATTTACTAAATGGATAAGAATGAATGCTGTAGAAAACGCTGGAAACCTATGAGAAATCTATTCTTTTCCATTTCTATGTTGCTATAAATGGCCTTATTTCTAAGACAAACTTTGATCCACAAATGAATAAAAATAAGAGGTAAGGCACAAAATTATTGACCTGTGGAAAAGCCCATCAATTTATGACACTTCGTAAATGACACATCAAAGTAGGCTACAAGAGCATGAATGAAATCATCACGCTCAGCAACAAGCTTGAAAGGGGCCGTGAAGGAAGCATCTCCTGGAGTCATCTTAGATATATCCATTGTCTGAATGAAGGAAACTGAAGAAAATTAGTGGAAACAATTGACAGCACAAAGGGGGCAAAGACTTACTTCACGTAGTGTAGCAGGGTGAAAACAGGATATGTGTTTCCCACCTTGAGTAGCTGACTGTTTGTAACAATTTGGTTTTGGTCAACAGTGTCCACAAGGGGCTCCATCATGGCTTGCTTCTTGATGCAACTCATGTCAAAGCCATAAACATTGTTCCAAACTGGAATAACATGAAAAGTAGGGGCAAGAAGCAAAAAATCAACAAGATGCACTACAAGCTACATGTTCATTTGTGTGACACTAAAGAAAATTTGAGCCTCCACAGATGCTAAACCGGACACACACAAAAATTCAAAAGGCTTACATTCTATCTTGTCCTCTTTATACTCTGCATCCTCAATAGCTGTCAAAAAGAGAGACGTTTTGTCTGGTAGTAGAATTCCATCATCTACCTAAATGAAGAAAAGACAGAACACATTCAAAAGGTTATACCATGGCTCCATAGTTTCTATGCAAAAATCAGCAATTAGCAATTAACCAATAGGACCCTAGAACACTACAACTGCAATGACTATCCCTTGAACCCAACCGAATGGATAGTTTGCATCAAGTTTAGGTATCCTTGACCAAGATACCACAAACAACAAATTTGGAATGTAAATACTACTTACAAGCCATTTATCACGAGCATAGAGGACCGTATTTAACATATTCTCAAACAACAAAAAGTATCCCATCCATTCTGAGATAATAATATCCACTTTAGGGACTGGAAGCTCAATTTCTTCAATCTTCCCCTTCAGAACGGTTATTACTGCATTTATCAAATAACGAATGTGTAAGCATAATACTCAGTTTGTCAAACCAATGTCAAGAGATTGAACAGAACTACATGCAGGTATGAACTTCAAAAACTTTACAATTAGAATATCCGTTTGTTTCAACAATCTCTTTTGCCATGTCAGCCATGTCAGAGCACTCAACCTGTGGGTAAAATAATTTGTTAAGTCAATAATATTAAGTAGACATAAACAAACTACATTGCAAAATAGGAAAATACTATGCATTCAAAGAAATTGAATTTTTAACAAACTTTCATTAGGAAAAACATACTGCATAAACATGCTTTGCGCCCGCTTTTGCACAAAAGAGGGACAAAATTCCAGTCCCAGCTCCCACGTCAAGAACAATCTTGTCCTTTATTAGAAACTTATTCTGATAGATAACATTCTGATATGTCTTAGTCCTCACTAAATCTTTCAACATTTCCTGCAACATAACAATAGTCAGTGAGCACCCAATCAGTATCAGCAAAAGGTTACAAGAACGAAATACAGAACCGTTTTGCATCCAAGCGCAATGCACTTACTTCATGAATACCTGCAATCAAAAGAAAACACAAAGATAAGCCTTTCGTAGCAAGTAACATCGAAACTGAACAAGATATAAAAAAAAAAACAAATCAAAGCATGGTTATTTTGTGACTCGCTCTATTACTTGGTGCCATTAGCACTTAAAATCAAAACTCCCAATCAACTAAACTAGCACAATATCTAACTTCGAAAACAAAATCCAAACAAGTTCGAACTTTACAAAACCACACCCGAGTTCAAAACAAAATGCAAACAATTCGAGACCATTCTATTACTTGCTTCCATTGCACCTTAAAGCAACCCTCCCAATCAAACGAAAACCAGCACAAAAGTCTAACTTCCAAAACAAAATGCAACCAAGTTCGGAACTTGCGAAACCCACGCCGAAAACCAAATCACGAAAACTAAAAAAAAAAAAAAAAAACCCCTTTTCCAATCCCATTATCTTAAGTTTTCAGACCATCCAAACAAAAAGCCAGAAGCAAAAAACAGTGAATCGAAGAAAGTAAGTTTTTTTTTCTTTACCGAAGTGAGAGTAGGAGTCGAAGTAATAGTCAGCACTCGTCTTGCCATCGGCTTCGACGAAGGAGACCTCCGGCTCACCCATGGAGTCATCGACGGCCTTGTCGAGCTCGGGGTCGCACATGGACTCGTCGGGGTTAGAGCTCTCGGGGACGTCTTTTACGGCTTCGCCGGGGTGGCCGAAGCCCGCCCCCGAGCCCTGGTTGCTGCTGCTGCTGTTGTTGGTGTTCTTTCGGCGACCCATTGACAGGCGGATTTAGGGTTTTGCGAGGGATTTTTGGGTACTTAATGGGCTCGCGGATTTGAGCTTTTATTTTTTGTTTCCAAAATTAGCGAAGTGGGAGTTGGAGGTCGTTTTCCTCTTCAAGTGGCCGGAGACTTTGGTCCATGCTGATGAAACGACGTCGGCAATAGTTCCAATACACAGTCTACCATGTCAATTAAATGGATTATTTTTTGTTTTTTTGTTTTGGTCAAAAAATGGATTATTTTTAGTTGAAGTTCTACAAAAGTGCTTTAATCAGTTAGTAACTTAATGCAATGTTAATTATTTGTTTGAATTTTTTTTACTCCCTCCTATTGTGGAGGGGGCATAATTACCCTACTAACACGAAAGCTTATAACGTACTTAATTTGACCTCAATATAAGGTGACAATGAATTCACCCACCTGGCTCAACAATCACTTTAATACCCTACTATACTTAGTTGCAAGCCAACACTATCAAACTCGACATTTGTTTGAATTCACTTCACAATTAATTTTATGATAGATAATATTTTACGGTGATCAATGAAGATTTGCTTTAAATGATTATTACCTTAACAAGTTACTAATTACCAACTTAACTATCAGTGCTTGAGCGCTCGTGTGAAGCTTTCAATTCCGATTTTGTGCCCTAAATAATCAACATTTTGTTAATAAGTTGATTCAAAATTGTACAAAAGTTGTCAAAAGTGAGAATTTTTAAAACGTCACGGAGAAATTTACTATAGCAAAAATTATATATACATTCTACAAGTGTTTGTTTTACTTTGGAATTCTTGTATCGTTCAATGAGGGAAAATATTGAAAAGCAAAACAAAGCCAAACAAGCGACCCTTTACCACAGTGGTGGAAAGGTGTTGAGTCATAGCATGATGACGTGATTTCGAACTCCGTCGGTGGCTAGTCTAACATCTAATCTTACAAAATCTATTGTTTGACCAAAAAAAAAAAAAAAAAAAAAAAAAAAAGCAAAACAATAGTTGAAGAATAATGACCATACATGTATAGTGAAAGTTTACAACAATATTTAGAGAGGATGCTTTGTTTTGTTTCATCTTATTCTTCTTTCTGTGATAAATAGCAGAATTCAAAGCTCATGGAGAGCACATCAAAGTCATTTATCAAGTGGCCATGGCGCCCCTGCCATTACTGCTTCAATCTCCGATATTCCCGAGGAACGTTTGTCATGTTCTTACAACCGTTAGCCGTGACAAGCTACAAAATGCAGAACCGAACCGGGTATAAGCACATCACCAGTACAGAGAAAATAAGATATGCATGAAATCACAAAGGCTGAAGTGAGATCAGCAGCATGCCAGCATGTACAGTTTTAGGCATAGCATAGGAATCATAGGGTTCAGAAAATGGGGTACCACATCACTTTCAATTCGAACTCCACCAAAACCTTTAAACCTACTAACTGCTTCATGATTGAAGAACTTGGTAGTATTTGAGTTTCCCATAGCTGGAACCAACAAAGCATCAATGAAGTAGCAACCAGGCTCTACCGTTATCACCTACAGAACAACCCACCAAGACAAAGCGTCAAATGCAATAGTATTCATTTTCGCCAGGGTTCAGAAAATACAGATTCAGAAACCGGTGAAAGGATTTGATATTTAATTCTTTATATATTAATGGGGAAAAAGGAATAAGAAAAACAATCACGCCAAATTTGATACTAACCATTCCCTCTTGGAGTTCTCTTGTTGTACGTAAAGACTTCAATCCAGGTTCTTTTGATCTCTCCGTTCCCTGCAAATTATGCAGTTGTTCCCAAGTTCCACGAAGGAGCAATGCCAAAATTATTTAAAAAATTAATTCTGAAAGATAAACCAGAAAGGTATAGAATAACTTGTTGAAAATAACCTTTGGGTAGCCACCAGGATCATGAGTAGTCAATACCAAGCAAATGCCCAAGACCATGAGGCATAAAAACAGCACCCAGTCGTTTGACCATCATATCATCAACATTCCTAGAACCAAGAACCATGAGCAACTTATGTAAAGTTATCCTCCCGAAACTAGTGAAAACTTGCACATAATTGGAATACTAGAGTACACAATTGAGATACAATGATTGTTACCCGACTAGGATCCTCCCTCTCTTCAATGATTCAAGAATAACCTTTTCTGCTAGTCTGCAAATTATAAGGAGGCAAAGAGAATCAGAATTTAAATGATATTTGCAAAAGCCTAAATATTTTTCGTAGAACATAGTTGACTTTAGTCATACTTATGCATATCAAGCCAGCTTACTCCAGGCTTCATTGTGGATATGACAGCATTGTGAGCATCAAGGACAGCCTGCAAAAGCAAGATAATTAGACACAAAAGTAAATATGTACTAGAAAATCCTATAAATCGTTGGACGCAGAAATATGAATGTTGTGTAAACTAAAGCAGGTGCTACACACCAGTCAGGAGCCATAAGCACACACATCATGCATGTGTGCACACTCGTGCACCAAAACAAAGAGCAAGAAGAAAAATTATAGAAACGAAAAATGCGACAATAACGCTTAATGCACTTACATTATATATAAGTGCTTGGTCAGGGGTAAACTTTCCGTTCACCTGCAGATAAAGTTGAAAGAATTCTGAGAAAACCTCAGGGAAAATTCAAACAAATAGGCATTGTCCACAGTACCATAAGAAGAGTCTCCTGCTTACTTCTATTTATTACCCTTCAGTTCAGAGAACCTCAACCATAGCTAAAAGAACAATTTCAAACAAAATGCACATACTCACTGGGTAAGAACAAGTGATGTCAGAACCATAGAAGTTGTATTCAGCTCCCATATCAAGTAATGCCAAATCTCCATCTTCCAAGATCTGCACAAAAGATGTTACGAGTTTTAGCTACTGTTCATAATTTTGACAAAGTACTCAGTAGTGAAGTATAGTGTACCCTGTCATTCGGAGCTGCTGCATGCCCATAATGGAGAACAGCACTGTATTTTTCAAAACAATAGATGCTTTAGCAATATTTTACAGTTGAGGTTTAACCTTAATATCAATATATTCATATCCTATAATGAAATAAAAATGATCTGTTAATTACTGGAACCAACCGGATTATTGGGACTACCTCATGGAAACAAAAACAATAACTTTTGATGATGAAAAGCCTACCTATTATCACCAGTAGCACAAATACATGTGTACGAGCAATGTCTACAGCCACCATACATGTAGGTGTGGTGAAGAAACATACTTTCCAGCTGATACTCGTACATGCCTACCCTAATTTTTCTCATGACCTGGTCAAATGGAAGATTGCAAACATGACTAAGAAAAAGAGAGTCAAGTTTTAAAACATTTTGATGAGAAAGAGCCAGAATCAGGATTTCAAAGTGCACAAAGTTCATGCGGTAGTGAACTAACTGATCCATTCCTAACTCCTAAGCTGCTTCTTGCTATTTGAAGTACATAAAGGGCATGTACTCACAGATATACTTTCAAGGATGATATGCAGAAGTGTTAAATGGACGTTTATTTATTAAAATACATATATGATGTATATATCAAACACATTTCTGCAATCGAACATTTTCATAAAAGATTACCTCCACATGAGCTTCAGAACTTATATCATTGGCAAACTGGATAAGGGCAAGCTCCATATCTGATTTTATAACACGGCATTCAGTCAAAACTGGATGCAAGGTAGTCAAATCTGTGTCAAACTTATCAATCCCCTATACAAAGATTAAGAATATATATTAAAATTTAAGAATCTACTTGAAGAATATGAAGTTTACTTTATAAAACCAATGAAGCTTGTTACCAAGTCCTTAATATCATCAAAACTATTGAGGGAAACATATATACCTATTTCAAGGTAGTTATGCTATCAGTCAAGCAACAACAACAACAACAACAACAAAGCCTTATCCCACTAAGTGGGGTATGCTATCAGTAAAGCATTATAGAAAAATTTGTTTGAAAAGGAGAATGCAACATGTCATTACCATATATTGTTGTTATTAATTTGTTTAACTATTCAACCTAACACCTATCACTCTCCAAGGCCAGCCATCTTAACCATCCTAACCATGAACTTATGTAGCAAGTCTTATTCTGAAAGTATTATTTGATACAGGGCGTATACCTGAAACTCTGCGGGTTTCGAGAATAGATCACTATCAGTGTTGATCCCATGCAAGAGAAACAATACAGGTTTACCGGATCCCATGTATTCATCATGCAAAACTGTTGCGATCTCATCAGTATAGTGTACCAGTGCTAACCATATATCTTTCCTGCAAATGAACAACACAAATGTGAGCTAACGACAAGTAATGACTGCATCATATGTTAACAGAGAAATGTATTAAAATTAACAATCACCTTGAAGTAAGATAAAGGCTTTATCTCTCCCAACCAAACGGCATATTCAGCAGGCAATCTCGGAGCAAAGAGAACAGCGTTCCCTGTTGCAATGTCCTTCGGGAAAAATGGAACAAAAAGATCAGTTCCGAAGAAAAATTACGTGTGACCCACAAAAGCTTATCTATTTCAGCTTCAACATTACATAAACAAACACCTAACAAAGATAAATTCACATTCGAGAACAACCCGAATGTCACAACTATATGTACTTACTATAGCTCCATAGAAACCAGGTTCTCTTACGCCAAACAAGTAAGCAAAGTAACTCTCTTGTCTGTAGCAAAATCAAACACTAATCAGAAAATAAGCAAACAAATCATCCATCAATAAAAAAAGGCATTGATCTTTCTAAACCAAGTTAAATTAAATGGAAAATTTTAATCTCTAATATTAAAATCTAATCACACTGGATAATCAAAATGTCCATTTTACATACTGGGATTCCATTAAATCAAGTAATACTTAATCATGCAATGCAAAAACCGAAAGCTAAGCTGAAAATTAATAATAATTTGAAACATGATTAATAATATTAATTATTTCAACTGGGTACCTGAAGAGCTCGGTGTGATCAGTGTCATAGCGATTCTGCTCTTCGCCTCCCTGAAACAAGAAGTTGATCAAAACCAAAGTTTATTAATTTTTTTATGAAATTTATTGAATCGAAATTAACGACGAGAAAGTGGATTACTTGGAGGAGAACGAAGCCGTAGAGGGGGCGGGAAGATTCAGAGAGGTGGCGGCGAAGTGAATTGAGGAGCGTTTCGCGGTTGGTGACGTGGAGCTCCGGTGGGACTGGAAGAGGAGTGAGAGACGACGGCGGAGCCATGGGAAATGGCTTTTCTTTCCAGGCCAAAAACGGACCCACAGACTTACTTATAGGGATTTGAGATGGATTCAGCCCAACAGCTTTATCCTCTATTTTGGGCCTAGAATCAAGCCCACTTCAAGCTCATCAAGGATAATTGATTTTGGCCCGGCTTATGAATAATCTAGGGTTTCTGTTTATTTGTTTATTTATTTATTGTATGAATTAATAATATGAGCCCGTATGAAAACTATTTTGTTTTTCAATTTTTTTTTTTTTTGTCAAACGATATATTTTATTAGATTAGATGTTAGATTAGCCACCGACGGGGTTCAAATCCACACCATCATGCAATTTTTGGAAATTAAAAACTTATTTGTTTATCATTTTTCATTTTTCAATAAAATGCAAGAATTGATGATGCATTTTACCAATTTAGTTGATAACATCAGGGTGGTATATAATATAGAATAATACTTGACTTCTTGTATGTAAGAAATCATTCCTTATCCACGACGTGAAAATATTTCACTATATAAGTGTTATAAGCCGAACCATTTTTTTTCTTTATCATCATCTAACAATCATCTCTAGAAAAATTCATTCAATTTGCAAACTTTTATTTTAATGAAAAATAATATTTAGTTATTGTATGTGTCGAACAAATAGACACTGTTATTTTAACATCCTCATGATGGACTTTTAATTTGTTTGATTGATTGGATGACAATATGTCCTCAAAATTGAATAAATTGTTCTCTAGATGATCTTCATATTATAATAAAAAGAATAAGTGGTTCCGATTATAATGTATGCATGTATGATGAAATAATGTCATTCATTGCAGATTGTACGGTTTTATAAAACAGTATGCTAGGTTCAAATCAGTAGTCAATCCTATTTCCGATGGGAACAACTGATACTTTCCAATATTTGAAAAAAGCCAGAAGTCTATGGAAATTTTAGTTTTACATGTATATGCATTTGCATGTGTTTGAATTCAATTTACGAGGCCTTACTAGCTAGAATTAGAATATTATGAACAATTTCAGATAAGATGATTGCCAATCAGCTAGCTGATCCTGCGCGGTTGCCTTGTTGGCAAGGAGGTGGAGCATATGGCTACATGTATCTTTGAATTCGACCTCTTATGTTGATAAACTATTATTTTAAGAATTAATTTGAGATTCTTTTAGAAATATCAAAATGACTGAGACAATTGTAAATAATTTTTACGACGCATGACTAAAAAGGTTAAGAAGTACTTTTGAAGTCTCAAAGATGCACATATATATTCAGTGCTTTTTGAGATTCGGAAAGAGCTTCTAAAGGGATTTTCATAGAACACTTGTTTTTCTTTTTCTTTTTTTATAGAAATTTTGTTGTGTTTATAGCAAGATAGTTTTTGCTGATAATTCTTGAGCACTGGTACTAGTATTCTCCACAAGACCATTCTGAAACAGGCCACAAGCCAGGTAGCTAGTTTTTTGTAAGTATTCAATACAAACGTATTTTCATCTATAAATGTGAACCAAAAGCTCCTCGAATGAGTATAAAAAATGTGACTAGACCGTATGATCATTCAATATTCGTGCATATGATCAAATGATCAATCATATATGCATGTTTAGTATTATTGAATTAATTAAGACTTTAAAACAAGAAAGAAATCTTATCTCTAAGCCTGTGTGTGCATGGATGTTCTTGGATCACAATTTAGGAATATAAGAAACTTCAATAATACCGATTTGTAGCTATACACTATCTATATACCCGTAATTAGTACTCCCCCAATAATTTTGAAAAACTCAGACGTACAATACACTATACATGCATTTTTTTAGAGAGAATATGGGAGGAAAGCACATGGTTGGGACAAAGAAAATTCTCACAAAAAGATGATTCTTGGCACATGAAGAGACATTGCTCAGAATATCTATTATGTGAGAATGTGAGGACAATGTCCACAACGATAAGGGATAAAACTACGCAAGGGTTTATAAGAAATTGGGTAACTAACTCTTCATATTGCCAATTAGTTTTATGGTGGAATCTCAATTTTCTTCATGCTACTATAGTAGGTTATCGCACACGTATTAACCAAAATAAAATTGCATGTTGAGGGGAAAATAAAAACTTTGATTTTATTATTTGCATTATTGGGAGTCAAAGTCTATGTGGACGATGGTGGATCGCATTTCATGCTTTAGAACCGAAACAAACAACATTAAGAAAATGGGATTATATTGGCAGCATCATGTATACAAAGAGTTATATATTTGTGTACGTTCTAAATACAAGGCTGACGATTTACTTATATGCAGAAGCAGAAAATGCAGGATAAACACCTGGAAGATATATATATATATAACTACAATGACGTGGTGTGTGTATATATCGTATCAAACACATACATTATACGTGAAAGATATATATTAATGTTCATAATGTTTTCACAAAGAACAAACACAAATAATGTTGATAGGGCAATAAGTGGAACACACCAATACATCGAAACATCAACAATTCAAATTCGTTTTTTCAAAGTAAATTATCGAATTTGTTGAATTGGCACAATCTTTCTCTTATTTGGGTTTACTTTTTTACTATTTTTGGTGACAGACATTCCCAGATAATCACACAACTATATATAACTACAATGATGTGGTGTGTGTATATATCGTATCAAACACATACATTATACGTGAAAGATATATATTAATGTTCGAAGAACAAACACGAATAATGTTGATAGGGCAATAAGTGGAACACACCAATACATCGAAACATCAACAATTCAAATTCGTTTTTTCAAAGTAAATTATCGAATTTGTTGAATTGGCATAATCTTTCTCTTATTTGGGTTTACTTTTTTACTATTTTTGGTGACAGACATTCCCAGATAATCACACAACTATATATAACTACAATGATGTGGTGTGTGTATATATCGTATCAAACACATACATTATACGTGGAAGATATATATTACATGTCATAATGTTTCCACGAAGAACAAACGCAAATAATATTGATAGGGCAATAAGTGGGACACACCAATACATCGAAACATCAACAATTCAAATTCGTTTTTTCAAAGTAAATTATCGAATTTGTTGAATTGGCACAATCTTTCTCTTATTTAGGTTTACTTTTTTACTATTTTTTGTGACAGACATTCCCAGATAATCACACAACTATATATAACTACAATGATGTGGTGTGTGTATATATCGTATCAAACACATACATTATACGTGGAAGATATATATTAATGTTCATAATGTTTCCACGAAGAACAAACACGAATAATGTTGATAGGAAAAAGTGGGACTCACCAATACATCGAAACATCAACAATTCAAATTGTCACATCCCGCCCGGGCCCCCACCACATCCTGGGCTCGACTCCACCGTAGCACGATATTGTCCGTTTTAGGCCCCTACCACACCCTCACGGTTTTGTTTCTAGGAACTCACACGAGAACTTCCCAGTGGGTCACCCATCTTCGAATTACTCTTGCAAGCGAACTCAATTAACTTCGGAGTTTCGATAGAACCTGAAGCCAGTGAGTTTCCAAAAGACCTCATGCTAGGTAGAGATAAGAATATACATATAAAGCTTACGGGATCCACTCCCCTAGGCGATGTGGGATGTTACAATCCACCCCCCTTAAGGGCTCGACGTCCTCATCGACACACTTCCGGTCAGGGATTGGCTTTGATACCAAATTGTCAAATCCCGACCCGGGCCCGACACCACCATAGCACGATATTGTCCGCTTTGGGCCCTTACCACACACTCATGGTTTTGTTTCTGGGAACTCACATGAGAACTTCCCAGTGAGTCACCCATCCTAGGATTGCTCTCGTGCGAACTCGATTAACTTCGGAGTTCCGATGTAACCTGAAGCCAGTGAGTTCCCAAAAGGTCTCGTGCTAGGTAAAGATGGGAATATACATATAAGGCTTATAAGATCCACTCCCTATGGCGATGTGGGATGTTACACAAATTCGTTTTTTCAAAGTAAACTAGCATTTGCCTACACACTTTGTGTGTATGAACACATTTTTTTAGAAAATGAGAAGGAGAGAGGGAGAGAGAGAACGTGGGGGGACTGTTGGGTTTTTGTTTTCAGTTTTTATTTTATTTTATTTTTTTTATTTTTAATACTAGAAGTATTTTAATATCACATGTAGGTGAGACTTCAATAAAAAACAGTAAAATTTAGACCTGTGAAATTACATTATTGCCCATCTTTTTTTTGTGTGATAGAAAACTAAGTAGTCTTTTCATCATCTTTTGACTGACAAAGAGCATTTCATTGGTTAATATAGATTAATAGAGATTATCGAAATGTGAATTGGCACAATCTTTATCTTATTTGGGTTTATTTTTTTACGATTTTTGGTGACAGACATTCCCAGAGGAATAAAACTAATCACAATTAGAAAGTGAGCCCCAATACCGTCGATTTGGGACTATCTGATTGGTGAACCATTTCCGTTGACCAATCAAACCGCTAGGGACAATCAATTACTTGTACCACAAGAAATTAAGGCATTTTAAAGCCCACTAATTGATGGTCCTTAGTGGTGGGCCGTGGCCATGTGAACTGAATCATATATGTGTAGTACGTACCTCCTAAATTACCCTATCATTGAGCTTGCGGATTATATACAAAACTTACAAGGGCCCACTTTGTGTTTTTAAGCTAAGTGCATTTGCTTAAAGATGCTTTAATTTGTGTTGTTGATTTGCTAAGCACGTAATTAGCTTTTTAAGATGGTTCTTGAAACCTAATTGCCTTCTTTCGTTCTTTACCAAATTTCTAATTGTACCCATAATGTCATAGTCTTCTTTCTTTATTTCCTTTTATCTCTTATAAGGTTATTTAAGTTCCATCTTTCGCATTTGGTAATTCAAATTCCGTTACAATTAAATAAGCAGACGTTGTATTCTTACAAAGAAGAAAGAAACATTTTTTGTATCAATAAAGGTTAGGGGGATTTAAACTTGAGACTTCTTCTACCATTGAGAAGTGAGGA